ACATAATAAAAGTTATTTTTAATATCTTCTAATGGTCAGAAGGGTGCCCGATATGATTGTAGGCCAAATATAGTTCTAAATATTTTGACAGACATAGTGACAAGCTTTCTAGTTTTTACCCAGTTCATACTAATTGTATAAAAGCAGTCTTTTAGTTCACTGTTCCCTTAAGTATTTTCAAGCAATGCCTTTTATTTATGCTTTGCTGCAAACTTGTAACAAGTGCACATTATTCTCTGCACCATTACAAAAAGTCAGGCATTACTTAGAGACAATCTAAAATCACACATTAAAATCTATACATAAAAATTGGGATTTCTATCATTATTAAAAGTATCTACAATAGTTAGTCCATTGCAGTATCACAGTGCAAGCCTATTTTGCTCATTGCTACCTTACAACAACGAAGGTTGAATAGTTTTCACTGGTATCAATGTTTTTGCACATTGAAAACATATGGCCAGTGATTGCACACAAGGTACATGAAAAAAGAGGAGAATTATACATCAAAAATTCCTTTCAACAAACGGGTTATCAAAATGCTGTATGATTGAACCCAACATTTTGATATTAAGACTTCATCTCAAACCTCCTAACACATCACAGCTTAAAGAAAAGACAAAAAAAAAAGGAGACAACAAACAAACATCAATCAAAACTAAGATTTACATCACAATATGCCAGATTGTTCGATTACCTAACTTTTCTACAGTATTACAATATTTTATTTTTTAAAAATAAAAACAAGTCTCAGTACTCTTCATACACATTACATTCAGCAGTTAAAAACCATAAACAAAATTATCATATAATAACAAAACACAAAATAAAGAAAAAATAATATCAAATGACTGGAGATTCTTGAACAGCAACAAACCAATCCCCCCTTTCAAATATACAGAAGTTATTGAAACACATGGCACTGCCCCAATGTTAAGATGGTAATACCCGCCCCTGCTAAGAGTAGACAAAGATAACGTCCTGATATAGGTACTTGGAAAAGTTTAGCTTGCATGTGGAGAGATGATGTGAATAATAACACAGCATCTAAATCTTCATTAGGTGTGTCAAGGTACACAAACGGACGTACACGGACATCGTGACCCAAGCGCTTAGTTTTTTCGCAAGCTGATGTGAGACGTGCAGCCTACAAAAAACATAATTTAAAAGTAGCCGTACATTAAACATCTATAAATTTGTAGGTCATAATAACCGACAGTAGAAATAGTCTGTTACCTGGATAAAAGGAGCTACTGATGCTAAAACCCACAGGACAACGTTTAAAACACTCACAACAATTATTGGATGAGTGTCTTTGTCCACATAATCGTAGTTAAAAATCCACATTAGCCCTGCTGAAGCCCATGATACATTGACAACAGTGAAAATGCAGACGGCTGGTGCCAATTCCTCATTTAGGTACTCCAGTAAATTTTGAAATTCGTTAATTTCCTGAGAAGAGAAGCAAAATCATCAAATTGAGGAGATAGAGTGTTTATGTATAAGAGAAGCATTCATAATACACTATTCATTACCACTAACCCTCATGAACTCCAATGGTTGCAAGCTATGCTGCAGAAGTTTTTTCCGCAGGAAATGTAGATGGGAAGTGAGGAGCTGACTTTGAAGACAATAACTTGCAGTTATAGTAGCTTGAACCATATCATGCCACAAAGTTGAAAATAAAAGCAAAAGCTTGAGTGCTATTTTCAGCTCAAGCGGGCTGCCAAACAAGTATCCCCTTGCTGTTAATTGTCCAATTATTTTATTTCTACAATTCACTGAAGGCAATTAAGTTGCCTTGCTAAATTATTTTTTAGACTTGCTTCAAATTTGACTAACCTGTGTTCCAGCCACTGAAATATTACAGTTCCATCAAGCATCATAACACTTACTGCAACCAGAGACAGGCTCACCCACAAGATGCTACAGCCGATAAAGAGCCAAAGAATGCGGACCAAATACCGTTGACTAGAGGGGGCATTATTAGGACCAGATGAGAGGAGAAATGCCTAGGGAAAAAAAAACATAAGACAAAGAAAAAGGAATATACATTTTTTAATCACGCATAACGTAAATGAAACAAATTGGGAAAGCAAACTGATAAAACTCACCCTCTCCATTAAGTTCTGTAGCTGTTCATTTTGACGAATCCGGAACAGCCACAATGCATACACATAGCCTGCCAAATGGAGTAAGCTAGGAAGAACATAGCTAAATACCAAGCTTCCATAGCACACCTGTTCATGAGACTTCACTACATCAGCAGCTGACCGTGAAAATGTGGGCTTTGACTTGTAGCAAAACCCTCTGTCTCTCCTGGAGAGGAAAAATCTAATTTAATTAACAGTAGAAATGGATTAAAAGCCACTCTTTATCAAATAACTTACCTGAAACAGCTCATGTACTGTAGAAAATATCCCATGCACATAAATGCGAGAGCTTGAACTAAATGTAAATGACCTAAAATGCTGAGGCATTGAGACTCTGTTGGTTCTAAGGTCAATGGTCGAAGACCCATTGTTGCTAGAAGACGAGTGTAGGGCCTTAATATTGTAAATTTACAATAGCGCAAAACTGCAGCAGTACTTAGCAAATCCTCGCCGGTCTGGTCAACCACCTCTGCGACCTGAAACATACAACTTTGTAGCAGAGTTGGCAGTTAACTGATAATTTAGTTGATTTGCTCCACTATAGATATCATTCTTCATATTTCAAGAAAGTAATCACATCAACACTGCTGAGAAGATCATCTTCAGTTCCTCCAGAACTTCTCTCATGTGTCAGTTGTCCTCCTGGGTACTCTGACGAAGCGATAAATCGTGGCATCTTGCATATCTAATAAAACACAGAACTTTCGTCAAGATGGGAAAAAATATGATACCTTTCACATTGAACTACTGCCACCCTAATTTAAGGAGGGTATAAATAACTGAGATATTTTTGTAAGATACAACAATTAATCACTGTATAAACCAGAACCCAATCCCATAATTATTAAGTGAAGGGAGATAACCTAAGAACTCTTACATCCATCGTGAACCGGTCCATCCTCACTCCTAGCCTCCAGCAAAACTGAGATATGGTTTGTCACCTACCCCACAACACACGAATAGAAACGGGGCGACCCGGCTTGCGGTTTGTGGTTGTAGAAAAAATGCCAGTCAAGCACGAGCAACTTCTTACTCTCGTCTTTCTCACGTTCTTCTTTTCGATTCCAACGGCTTGCGAGTTGTTTTTGTCTTATTTCTCACACATCCCTTCCCTTCTCCCGAATTATCACACGTTTATCTACCGGCCAAATGTCAACGGTGTTCGTCAAAGTCAAAGCAACAGCTGATGGGTGCTGCTACTACCGCCATCACCACAACAACGGGCATGGCTACAACTACTCGCTCAGGGCCGCTGATCGAGTTCCGTTAAACTCAAACAGATGGCGTTAGCAGTGCGGGGTGGGTGTGTGCAGCAAGCAGACAGCCTAGCTGACAGCAGCTGCAGCTGACAGTGTCAGCAGGGCCTTTCACGGCCGTTCTGCTGGCACCACTAATTGGTTTCTTGGACATATTTGTCGGATACGCTAAAGAGACTGTCAACATGCTGTGATATACGAAGCATTCCACATTTTAGTGTAGAAAGGGCACTATCCTGCATTCAATAACTTTAGCTGGCACTAATGCTGTTGAATGAATGAGAGCAACAGTGCAACTACTGGGACTGGGGTGCTGTCACTCAAGACTGCGATGGTTCAGGGTCAAAGTGCAGCCATAATCGTGAATGATTCATCAGTATCTGAGGAGTACGAGGTGAGTTCTGCATTTTACGAGCGGTAGTCGCTCCGCACGCTTGCCCCCCCACACACAGCAAGAGTAAGTACATTTCCTTAGAAGAAAAAAAAGGGATTTTCTGGTTATATTGCAATTTACAGCAATTTTCATTGATGTTTTTTCTTCTTATTTTAGTTAGCTTTTTAATTAGTTAGCTCTGTCTCTGTTTAATGGAGAAGAATGGTTGAACTGTGTACTTTTTTGAGGGTCTGTAACCCTATTTTCCTTATATTTTCAGTGACGATGGGGCAAAACAGCAGTGTTCCAGTTGTTGGCCGCAGAAAATCTTTTCGGAACAGTTGGCGATCTCCTTTTCCACCAAGATGTCGCTCTCGGAAAGGAAATTTATCTGCAACTTTCAATGTTTTGGATGTAGATACGAAGGTTTGTTGACCGTTCCTATTTATCTTGCATCCTTGAAAAAACATTCTAACAAGTTTTCTTATACTTTTGTTCACATAGATTGACCAACTTAATGTAAATATTGCTAGTGAAGAAGAGCTTATGACTCTACCGGGAATATCCCGTATTGATGCTCACTGTATTGTGGAATATAGACAAAGGCTGGGACGGTTTAAGAAGGTTGAAGATCTTGCTTTAGTGTCAGGAATTGGAGCTGACAAGCTTTCTTCCATAAAGCCTGAGATCTGTGTTGGTCCCCGTCGCTCTCCTAGGTAATAATTTATCTCAAGTTAAATTTTAGGAAAGCATTTTTTATTTATTTTTACATTTTACTCATGGGAACGTTTGTTTTAGCTGTGCTTCTTCTCGGGCTCAATCTGTTGATAGTCTACCAAGTGTGGACAAACCTTCACCACGACCGTTGCCTCTAGTTAATATAAATTCAGCAACAATATTTGAACTGCAAACTATCCCTTGTTTCACTCAAGAGATTGCTGCTAATGTAATTGATTATAGAGACAAGCATGGTAACTTTGCTAACTTGGACCAACTAACAAAAGTAGGTTCTGTAACAAGGCTGAAAAACTGTTACAACTATTGTTGTGGTTGTTGCTTTAATAAGCCTGCATTTAATTATGCTTGTGATTTCAGGTTAAAGGTATCAACCACATAAGACTGGGAGCGGTTAGATCAAGGCTCACCATTGACACAGAACAAAGTTCTGCTCCTGTTCGTAATGGCTTTCCCCCAATTTTTAATCTAGTCCAAAGTACACCGAAAGGATCTCCGAAACTGCCATCGAGCCATTCTTCACAGCCCATTGCAAATGGCAAAATTTCTGGTATGTATAAAAATAAGATATGCTTGTAATCTTTTGTGAACCCTTTTCTCAACTTTTAAGATTGACTTTTCTGTACACTTGGCTAAAATTCAAAATTTCAGGCCATCGTAAAACAATGTCAGTTCCAATTAAATTTGGACCAACATCAAATGGAGTAGCTGTTCGTGACATTTTGGATATTTTGTCTGCTTGTTCACCAAGACCAATTGTTGAAGACCATTTTGATGGAAAACGAAAGGGTAGACCAGCCATGAGAATCGCAACATGGAACCTCAGTGGTCTTTCCATAGAAAAGGTTGAAAATCCTGGTGTAAAAGAAGTTATTTGTCGTACCATCCTAGAAAATAGGTATGTATAAAAATTATTATCCAATATTTAATTGGCACATTAAAAAAGTAAACTGTAGGATATAAATATTAATTTTGGGAAATTTAACTTTTTAGAGTTCTTTCAACTGAAGCCATGCCTGTTATCTTTGTTATCTGGGAGAAGTAGTTTTCAATTAGGTAGATAAGAGAACAAGTGTTGAAGAGATTGAAAAAAAATGTGTTGTTATCTTTTTTTTTTTTGGAAGCTCTTAGGGAAAAAAACCCTCAAATCTGACTTTCTACCTACTGGCAATTTTGTTGCGGCTTATTGTAGGAGTAATGAGGAGGGAGGGATGGATGGGATGGAAGAGGTGTACTGCTGTTTCTCCTGAAATTATCCTAGTATTTGTGTTGGTCCAGGTTTTCTTTGGTTGCCCTCCAGGACATCCAGAGCACTGAAGCCCTAGAAAAGGTAGAGTTTAATTCAATTTACTTACTTATATGAAAAAAACAAAAACAAAAACAAAAAACTTTTGAGAAATTTACATTTTGCCTATAATTTGGATCTTTGGATTTTAGATTTGCAATGAACTAAATTTCCCCACTCTGCGTCGTGTCAAGGAGTGGAAGGAGAATTCACATTCATGGCTCCATCAGGTAAGCTTTGCAAGTATTAATATGGCACTAATACCCTTGCAACTTCTCTTAATGTTAATTTTTTCTTTGTTCATAAGTGCTGCAAAGGGCTTGGCTTTTTGTGGGATACAAGTGATGGTATTTCTCTGTCGACTGTGAATATGGAAAAGCTACCCGGCCTGGAAGACTCACCTGAAGTTCTTCATGCAGTTTTCAAGGTAATAAATGAAAATAAACCAAAGAAAAACAAAAGGAAAGAAAAAAGTTTCTCTGTTAAGTTACAGATCTGTTAAGGAAAATTGATTGTCTTTTCCCCTCCAGATTGGTGGTCTCCAGGTATCAATTACAAATGTGAATTTTGAAGAAACTCTCCAGTGTGATCCAAAAACAGACATTCTCAGTACAATCTCCAAAGAGTATTTAAAAGATGAAAGTAGTAATCAGATAGTTTTGGGTGATTTTTCATTCTTTCAGGACAGAATTGAAGGTAGTGGTTACTATTGGTTGGAATATCTTCGTTACTTTAAGTTAATTATTTAAGTTATACCATTTAAACTGACTTGACTTTGTGTTTTCAGAATGTGATGATGTAAAAGATTTCCAAGCAGTTTTACCAGCCAAAATAAGTACTAACAGCATTCCACTGAATCACCATAGTCTTGATTACTTATTCACTGACAATATATTCCTTAACAAAACTGTTAAGAGTCAATATACTGGTAAGACATTCACCTGCTAGAGTTGAAATGAAATATAAATTTGTCCTCTAACTGCTACATATTGCACAATTTCAATTCCAGATATGAGTGGTGTAGTCCGACAAGGGTTAACCCACCTAGCTATACCCCGTAGTTGGTCTTGGGGTGGCCCAGCTAGTGAGCACTGCCCTGTTTGGTGTGAGTTTTATGTATCTAAAAAAGTACTGTCCCCTTGTGCTACCCGCAAAGGTTGACAGGCTAGAAGTTAAAGACTAAAAAATAACAATTTTCAATGAATTAAGTAGTGTTACGACTGCTTCAAATGCCCAACTTGAGTTTCCTTGTGCAAGTGCAAGATCATCAAAGTTTACCTGCAAAAAGGAGAAAGATGCTTTTATCTTATGATCATATTATTGCTGTGATTTTTGAGGCATGATAGTAACTAATTTGTGGCCGGCCTGAGACCTTAAATGTGTTCATGACTTCAGCTCCTAGCTGTATGTTTTAAAATGCAGCTGCGTTGGCTATCTTCAACTTTCTCTCTGGAACACGAGCTCTATTTTTACAGCAATCTACCACTACTTTGACATTATGAAAGTGTTGAAGGGATGTGATAAATATTATTTTCATAAATTTCGTAAAATTGTAAGTTAGTAACACTTCATGAGCCTTTCTTATTGTTCACAAGAAGCAATTATGTTTATTTAAGGTCCAGGTCTTAACATTGTTTTCGCAATGTCAAGTGACTATACGGGACATCTAAGAAAACCTTCTGTGATTTCAAAATCCAATTTTCTTGAGATTGATTTTTGTTTATTTGTTTTTAAGTGTAAATACCACTACTTTTAATAGCATCTGATTATCCTATTCTGCTTTTCTCTCCATCTGCTCAATTTGTTAATACTAGTCTAGGTATTAGAATAATAATAAAGTAGTCCTGTATTTTATTTAGATATTTATCTCAGATTTTGTTAGTTTACTTTAACTAAAAATGATTTTCTTTAAGCATATCATTAGTTCTATTCCTGTCTGTTACCTTTTCAAATGAAATAATGTATTTGCAAACTGATTCTTTCCACAAGCCAAAAGTTTTCAGTTTATCAGTGGGATGTGCGGAGCGGGCTGTTCCATAACATGTAAATAATGTGTTTAAAGAAAACTTCTCATGCTCAATTCTGTGTATCAACATGGACGCTAGCTCTAAGGCTTTAAGTTACCAATGACCTGTGCCTAACTAAGTCATAGAAAACATAAGATAGTATACCTCTTTATACCATTTTGATTGCTGACACTTGTGATCTAGAACTGGTATTCAATAATCCTGCCTTTGGAGAAATTTTCTCCTGGAATTCCTTGAATCAGCTCTGGATTAGTTTTAAGCTTTTATGAAATTCACTCTGCGGTATGAACTTTTCCCTGCAGATCAAATTCCAATAAATTCTTTACATGGTACTTAAGTTAATTGAAGTTCTTGCATCATTAGTTTCACTTAACATTAATATAAAATATGGAACAAAATTTGAGATTCACAAAAAAAAAATTAACGATACAGGGAAAAGGATAATATTAGCCTGATTTAAAAGATTTAATACAATAAATTACAACTCATGTTGTTCATACCCACAGCACATTTAAGAAACTTGAAATAGAATCAAATCTGGAGAGCACACAGCATACATGGTATTTGACAAAGAATACCAGAATCACAATTTAGTCAAGCAAGTCCATACAACAGAAATCATTCTCCTCCTCTTAACGCCAAAACAAGATGCAATACTGATCCTCCTTGAACTTTGTAATCTTGGGCAGTTTTGTCATCACTCCTGCAAAATCATGAAAATAGATTAGAATATATTGGCCCACAGCTTAGTTTAATTTCATGAAAGGCTTACATTTGTTTTCCAGAAAAAATGAGACGTTGCTGTTGGGGAGGAATGCCTTCTTTTTCTTCAACCCGCTCTTTGATTCTCTCAACTTTATCAGTAGGTTCAATGTCTATCTCAATCTAAATAAATAACACAAAATTTGAAATAATATCATTCACATTAATTATGGCTATTAGGATGAGAACTATTACTGGACAAACAGACTCATATAAAGTCGATCTACTACTAAGCGCTTCTTCTTAAATGAGAAGGTCACTGACCACACTTACCTCTTTCCCGGTGAGAGTCTAGCGACATCAACATGTAAAGAAAGAGAAACAGTATTGAAAGGGAGTATCATTTTAATAAATTAAGGTTGTAAACACTGAAATAAATTACTGATGGGACTAAGCGGCCAAATCACAAATAAGGTTAGGGCACGCTTTTAATTTGAAACCAACTTCAAAAACAGGAAAAACACTGGTAGAGAGTAAACTTTGACGAATAAAACTTGATTAAAATATTAAAATACAGTATATCGAACAAAAATTACGGCACGTAACAGAGAATGAATGACTTGCCTACCGGTAGCAATTTGACAGATCACACGCTAACGACTCACCTTCACTTTGATAAGCATATTGACGGATAAATAAGGTGATTTTAGAGACTAAATTAATTATTGGAACAATTCCTAAAATGCTGACACTTGATTTAAAGTTCCACTGGCTCAGATTCCAACGCTCTTTAACCTCACTACTCAACCAACAAACACAACCCGAGACCCGAGAGCTCAGCTCAGCTTGCCTTCGGCGCCGGTAGAGTGCGCCCCAGTCTTGCCGTTTCTCCCTGTTTTCCCCCCGTTTTCGTTGACTTTTCTTTTCGGCGGTGACGTGATGTAACATGTAACCAGCCCACGTTTCAGCCAATGACGACCAGAATTTAAGGTTGAATACGTTCAGGTATACGTTCGACGACCTTGGGATGTTCAAATTAAAGCATTTTAATTCTGATACGATGTATTATTTCCATTTCAAAAAAATACAATTCCTCTCCAACCCGACCAAGATTCGATGGTCATTCCCCAGCGCGTTTAGCCAGGGCCACCAGGGTTTAGAGCTGTGTGGTAGGTGGTAGTGTACTGTAGGCCTTTTCTCATAGTGTAGGCGAGGTGGCTTCAAGCCAATACTGCACTGGACCTGGAGGGTGTGGACAGTTTCTCGCTAGTTCTGCAACCATGGGCCATTGGGGCTCTCCCCCCTCTCCCCCTATCAAACCCGCTGCGGGCTAGCCAATCCCCGACGAGTAAAGTTCCAGCGGGCACGTCCTTCCCTCTAAGGCGTTTTGTGTCAGTTCAAAATGCAGTGATCAGAAATTAATTTTACTTTGAAGCAGATTTACATTATTTCATACAAATTTGGTTTGAAACATATGTTCGGGGTCGTACCCAAACCAAACTAAGGGACACATTTTCGGGGACCACGCTCTACCACCAGGGGGAAAGAGGGGGGGGGGGGTCGGCCAAGTCACGTAGTTTTGACATTTTGTCGACAGTGTTGTGTTTTAACACCGCTTAAAAGAGCATAGTTTTGAAAAATGATGAGAGACCCGTTTCAGCGAGACTAAACACTGAACTCTACTGGTGCTCAATCGCAAAAGTCACCACGAAATTCAGTTTTCAACATCAGCAAACATGCACTTTTTGTTAAAATGCTCTAGACAGACGGGAAATAACGCGTATTATAAAAGACACGTGATAAGGAGGGGAAGAGGGGGGGATGGGGCGTCATGAAAACACCACGGAGCCCCACAAGGGGCGGGGGTCCAAAAGCGGCCAACATGCGTGGTCACGTGGTTTGGGTACGTCCCCATACCCGCAGGCGCGGTATAAGGAGGGAGCGACGCACTGTGGGTTGCCTACATACAGGGGTTTTGTAGCACAAATTGCCTACCTTTCAGGCGGCTCACTAGAGACGATGGGGGGGGGGCGATCGCCCCCCCCCCTTTACCGCGCCTGCATACCCGGTGGCTGATTTGCACCGCGCACTTCTGTTGTAAGGCTGTGCCGCAACGTGCGGGCGGGTTGCCTACTCACTCGGCCCATAAGGCCATGGTCAGGGGTGATACGCAAGCCCGCACACACCCCACCTCAGGTATAGCATATGCAAGTGTAAAATGTACCAGCAGAAAATATGACCGGGCCTAGATTGAGCACACCCGTAAAAAAGAAAAAAACCTCCAATGACCCACCTTTTGACGTCAAAATGAGTTCAATTGGGTTCCGTAGGGGGGCGGGGGGTATCCGATGCCCCGCTTTCCCCCGTCGAAAACAGTGAAATGCTCCTTCATTTAAAAAAAAAATAGTGTATTGAAACGGTTTTTGACGGGCATGCGGGCGACTTTCTCCTCGGATAATTTTGAGCGGTGACCGACTCACCCTGCTTATTATGTTATAGTGTCTTAACATACAGGGTGGTCGCTGTGCCCTGTCCGAGCAAACGCATAAGCTAGCCCGCAAGCGCGGTGCGTGCGACCGGTTTTGCCTATCGTCTGCAGCCTTATAGCTCCCCGTGCTCGTTTCCTGGGATGAGGCAGGTGAGGGCCCTCATCGGGAGGGACAGCGACCACCCGCTATAATGTCCTGGGTCAAAGGTAGCGACGTTGCATCGACATCGAAACGATGTCGATGAAATTTTCATTGCTGGCTGGGGAAAGCCATCAAAACGGAGGAACATTTTCACGTGATAGTGACGGTCACGACTCAAAGTCCTTCATAATGTTGAGTAGTTCATCGCGCTTTATCGGAGACTTCCGGACCTGGAGGGAGGGAATTAGAGTTTGCAATCGGTCGGGAAAGCCCGGCGCGCTTGCCCGACCTCCGAGCGGGCGAGAGAGAGAGACGGCACTAGCTGTCTCTCTCGCACGCACGGTAATCGCCACCCATCTCCGATGAAACACGCGACATCGCGCGTGCCGCCGCCAAGCAGCGGAGAGACCGAAAGTGGATGTTCGGATCATCTCAGTGTGTTTGTTGTCCAGAGCCAGTGGTGGCGAATCGGATGTGAAAGTTGAAAGGGGCTGAGGTCGTGACTGTGGAAGGGTTTATAAAGAAGGGCGACAACGGTACGTTTCCAAATTGGTCAAGGATTTACAAGTCGTACAACAATCAGTTCAGCAGAAATCGGAAGAAAATCATCAGTCCAAGTTGTCGCAGTGGTGTCGGCTGGAGCGATCCTGAAACATAGAAAACGAAACGTATTAGAAGACTCGCTTCATTAGGATTAAGGAACTGGGGAAGGGGGGGGGGCGGCAGCGTTGCGACCTGCGTCGCGCCCCAGACTCCCGCAGACATGACGTCATCAGTCCGACTGCCCTTGGCACACACACCCCCTTCCTCTCCCTCCCACCCCC